GCTACATTCCCAGTTGATTAACAGTCACTTTGAGTAGAGACCATAGACTCTAACAAGAAATAATGTATTTTACAGACTCATGATCTTAAGTATCAGTCCACACCATGTGGAATACTTAATTTTCAAAGCGGTTTTTTCTCATTTTAAAACTCAATTAAATTTTAATTTAATAAATGAAGACTAACTGGAAAGTTGTCTATAATTACATGATTTGGTCACAACTGGATGATTTTACTTGTTTTTTCTGAATTGAGGACAAAGTTCAGGCCCAGTTCAAAAAAGGCTTGGATCGTTTCTGTTTACATAAATGATGCAGCTGTGACATTGACTTACTCATTCACTAATACAAAATGTAATTCATCTTAAGCCCAAGCAGCAAACCATTGTAAATTAGACATTCTAATCATGTTAATTATAGCATTGTTAATTGTTAAAAGAATGTTTGAACGGATAACAATTTTATTTTATTGAATGATAAAGCTGCTAGATATTTATTGGAATAAAGATCTAATTTTAAATAATTGTTCAGTTTTGGTCATCTAATGCAGTTATTCACATTTTTAGCCATGTGATTTTGAATAACTTTTTGTTTCACAGCAAATAGAAAAAGTGACAGAACTTTCACAAAAAAAATTCAGCATGGGCCAATTAGTAAATATGCATGAGTTGACCAGTTAGATTTTTTGTAGTCAATTTTTCAGAAGTGATATTACTAATAAAATTGTATATTAAAGAGGGGAATTTAGCAGCCAGGTTATGAAGGAATAAAGCTGACAGTATCAGAACAAGATAAAAGAGCATGTGGAAATCAAAATATCATAGCTGGAAAATCATTGGCCTACCACAGAAGGTCAGTTGTACCCCTACCCGGAGTTTGAGCTTTGGACGAAATGTTCTTTAATATTTGTACAATACCAGACCTTTGATACCATATCTCTCAGTAAACCATCTTCTGCTCTAGAGCCACCAGAGTTGAGGGCATGGGGGAATGGAGGGTGTACAGTTCTGTAGGTAAGGGGAGATGGTGCTAAGTATAGAGTTGGCCAAGGAAATCAAGTACCTACCATTTCTGCTTTCCTCAGCTGATCATATAGCTCCTTCAAGATAGGCAACACTTTGAGGAAGCACTGAAGGTAGCAAAGGTGCTGAATCCATTATAAGCGGGGTAACTCAGTGCCCATAACTAAGCATGATTCTGTAGCTAAACTAAATGCTTTGGACCTAGTCAATATTCTGGCTATATTGCTGAAGATCTTTGTTCCAGAAGTACCAAAACCTCTAGCTAAAATGTTTCAGTAATAACTATACAACTACTATTGATGCAACAAATCAGGGTAGTAGGTAGCCTAGTTGCATTTATTATTGTCGTTAGCTATCCCTCACATCATCGACTCAGTGTTATATTTAACAACTCTGGTAGAAGCCTCCGTATGGCTTTAATGTATGGACCGTGGGATGTAACTGTTATCCACACCACTGGTGAGTTGAATTTTGGTAGTGTCAAACCACAGTGAATGGGACCAACTTGCCATTGCAGCTTTATAACACCATCACAACCAGTGAGACACTTTTTTTCCTTTGCTTGTTCTGGGTTGCGGGCTTTCTGTCTTTATTTGAATTTATTGTTTAATTCAGTCATCAGTGCTATCAAGTGGCATTTACTCGGCAATATTCTGCTGCCTTCAGAACTGATTTTAAGTCCTTACTATGAACATAAATTGAATTCCAGAGGCAAAAGGCAGAGTGACTGCCCTGGTCATCAGAGCAATATTTTATCAAATGCATCACCAAGGAAACTAAAGTCTAATGAAAATTAATGAACATTAGGAAGATATTTCTAGGGGGTAGACTCATCTTGAGCCCAAAGGTAGCTGGTTGAGATTAGTGCAGGTTAACTAGCATAGCCCCCAACTCCATTTCATTATTCCCCATATAATGAATCAGTATATAACCTGTAATCAGCACATGAATACAGGTTTAGCCTGAAAAATGACAAGTAACGTTTGCAGAACTGCCTAGCAATGACCATCTCCAACAGGCAAATGCTAGAACCACTTTATCCATGACATTCAATGGTTTTACCATTACTGAACACCTCACAACCTTCTCCCCAGATTATTAATAAACTGGATCTAAATGCTGTGGCTAAGACAAATGATTAGAGGGTATAAAAAAAAATTGCTAAAGTGACTCACCACCTGATCCTAAAGTCTCTCCTCCATCTATGACATAAAGTCAGAGGTGTGATGGAATAATCCTTTACTTGGATGAAACTGAAACAACAAGTTTCTTATCTGGCATTTCCATCCAACTTGAACATCGAAGTCCTTCATTACTGACACGTGTGGACTGTAAAGTGTACAGAATGCACACCAGCAACTTGCCAAGTATCCACTGGCAGCATTTCTCCAACTCATAACCTCCACTATCGAGAAAGAACAAGGACAATAAGTGTACGTGAAAATCATCTATCAATCAATTCCCCTCCAAGGTTCCAGGATGAGAAACTTCAGTTAAGTATCAGTTGGAGAAGCTGGGACTGATTTCTTTGGAAAGAAGGCTGAAGGAAGAGTTGATAATTTTCAAAATCATCAGTGATCTGAACAGAGTAAATAGGAAGAAGCTGTTTCTGCTCATAAATCAGCACCAAGGAGCACCGTTTTAAAGTGTTCTGCAAAAGCAAATGGGAGGTAAGGAAAACTTTTTCACACCGTGAGTGGTCTGGGTTGGGGTGGACTAGCTGGAATTGTGGAGACAGATTCAACTGAGGTGTTCAAGAGGAAATTGGATGATTATTTAAATAGAAACAACAAACAGTATTATGGGAAGTAAAATCATGGTAGACGATATAACAGTTAAGTTAAGGAATAAATGCCATAGTGTATTAAGATTCTTTTAAATGGAGTTAGAGTCTGTGACATTCTTAAGATAAGGACATTGCATTTATTGCCCATCACGAGTGCCCATTTAGAAGGTGGGCTGCAGTGAGGTGAAAAGTGCTCCTACTAAGGTATATAATAGGACATTCTAGGATTTAGTCCAGTGCCAAAACCTGTACTGCATCTACAAGGCACAAAAGTGTTATTAAATATTCACTTGCCTGACACCCCATCTAATGCCTTCAACATTCAATCCCTCCACCACTGAAAATAGTGTATACATAATGCACTGCAGCAACTCTCCAAGGCTCTTTCACAGCATCTTCCAAACAATCCTGACATTAGAATTATATTGCTGCATTCTTCACTGTCTCTATGCCAAAATCTTGGAATTCCTTCCAAACAGCACTTTGGTTTGTGACACATGTGGTACAAGACATTTTTATATAAATATCGATTCAGTATAGATTGCGCACTAATGTATTTTGTCAAAATTTGTAATCTTCAAATTAAATTTTCCCACATTATAACTGATTCTCTTTAATGGACATTGGGGGGGTTTACAATGAAAGAAGGTCTCAGAAAAAAACATATAGTATAGTATCTTTATAAACTCATTTTTATGGCAACTCTGGCTCTGACTGAAAAAGTGATGGGGTTTAAATACCACTCCAGAAGGTGTAGGCTGACCTTTCAGAACAGTACTGACGACATGATATATGGTTGGACATGCTAAATTAAACATAGCCTACCCTCCAAGATGGATGCAAAGGATCTCATAGCATTCATTGGTTTTCTTGTCAATAGTTATCCATCACTGAAAAATATTATCAGGTATTGGTGGTTACAAAACCTTTTTGGGGAAAGGTTTGCCACCAACAGTGGCTTGACTTGATGTTTACTTTGTAGGCTGTGGATTGCTTTGGAATATTCTGAGCATTTGAAAGGTCTTTTACAGAATAAAGCAGTAACATTCAGACCATCAAGTCAGCACTGGTTGTTTGTTAGTTTCAGTGCCCCACTGTTGCCCAATATTCTGCAATTTTTTTTTCCCGTCAAGATCTAATTCCCTTCTGTTGGCTGCTATTGAATTTGTACGTACTTAGCAGGTAATATATTCCAAACCCTAATAATTACAGGTTATATTAAAAGAACTGTCACCTCTGATTCTTCACCAATTGCCTTAAATCTGTTTGTCCCTTTTTGGATGTCAGTCCTTCAGCCTTTGAAAATATTTAATCTTTTATCACGCTTTATCGAATCTCGGTCTTCATACAAACACAATCCTTGTATTGGAAAATATAGTCCCAAGTAAAATTTGAAGCAAAACATTACACCAAAAAGGACCTGCTTTATTATAAAATTTCTTTATTGATCATAATTTCAATACTGTATTTAGTTTCAGATGCAGTACACTGCGAAAAAAAATCTTTACTTAGGCTTCTGTTGTCTTTGTTTTAAACATCAACTACATTATTTACAAGTTTTCTGTATACATACACATAAGCACCCGTCCCCTTGATATATGCTTTCCGGTGGTGGTTGTTTAATGCATGAGTGAAAGGGTTTAAATTGCACGGCCTGTGAGGAAACAGTGAACTGTATCCAGTCATTTTGCAATTCAGTCCAGCAAAACTAATGCTGAACCCGCTTTTAACTTTATCTTAAAATTTCTTTTCCCTGAATGTATGGAAACAAAAGCTGTTATAACAAAAAATAATTCACAGTAATAAATATCAAAAGAAAATTATACAACTGTATACAAGTTCTATTGAAACAAAATAAATTCCAAGTTAAAATAAAAAGAGTAAAGGCGAGACTGGAGCATGACATGAGCTGATGATTAATGTCCTCATCCCAAAAGGCATTTTAAAATATAATGGCATTTGTATAAATAAAAAGCTCTGAGCAAGCTCAGAAATATTTAGTGCATTGTTGTTAATTAGTGCAGTTGTCTTCAACACAGTTACAACTTAGAAGGAATGAGACAGTAGTGAAATGATTAAACTGGACATTAGAGTTCTTTTGTATGGTCAATAGAATTCTAACCTATCAATAACTTCAAAAACAATATTTTCTTTTAAAGAGATTTTAAACGTGCACTGCATGAAACTAGGGCATTCTCAGTATTGGCAAATAAATAAACACAGACAAAATACTCAACAAAATCTACTTAACAACTTAAGAAAAATGTTATTTAAAGCATATGAAATGCATAGAATTTCTTATAGGTTTTAAAAAAAACAAAATATAATTTTAGATCAGAGTTCTGCCTCCGTGCAGTTTTCCTTTTACATGTCAGTTAGCTCTGACAAAAGCAACATCCCTACTACATGAGTTACATTCTGGATAGTCTAATCCAGCCTCCAGCTGTTGCAATAATGCTTTCAGACCACAGGATGGCAGAGAGAGATTTACTCCTGTTTCTATCTTCCGCACTTGAGCAACTGCTACAAGTGTTTCAAACTTTAGCTCCAAGTTCCAGGACCCCACACTCAATGATGGGAACATACTTGTCTTCAATCTGAACCAGCAGGATCGTCTTGTCTATGTGGGATCTGCTACTTGGCTCTCTGCTACAAGGCACCCAACGGTGAATCACCTAGTACAGAAAAGAAATAATGAATTGGTTGACAGCAAAGGAATATGGGATAAAGAATTTTCATGATCAATAGAGCAAATTATTCTGTCCAATGTTTTCACTGACCTCGAATGTACTAATTCTATACTAAAACTGCCTTGGAATATATTTAAGCTGTTTTGTGTTTATTTTCTTACTTGTCTTCCCTCCCCCGCCCTCCCCCCTACCCAGTTATGTACATCACGTGTCATTTTGAAACTATTTGTTTTGATTTAATTTTTTTTATTAATGTTGTAACATGTACCTAAGTACAGTGAAACATTTTGTTTTGTGAGCAGTACAGGCAGATCATACTAAACAACGTCATACAGATCTTAAGGTGCTTAGATAGAGCGAGGAGGATAATGGAGGTCCAGAGATCAGCCTCATCTTCCCTCCCCAATTACTGGCCCTCCATCACTGAGACTGGAGATCAATATTGAAGCAGCTCTTCTGGCTTTTCAGTACAGTTTCAATAAAAATTAAAACAAAATTTCTCATTGAAATCAGCTGTGAGCCAATCTTAACTACTTAATTGTATGATGCCCATTTGTAACTGCAGTCAAACCCTGTGCAAATATCCTCTCATTAAAACAATTCCTGAAATTGGATCGTTGAGGGCAGTCCCAGTTGTAATGGTCAAGGTACTGTATAGCAGCTCAGGTGCAATCTTGCGTTGACCCTTATACTGTCCTTTCGTGAAAGTGTGCACCAGGCAATTGATGCAACATAGAGTATAATAGTTTCAGACCTTAATCTGTACTCTATTTATTTCTTTTGCTTGTTTTTAGTGAGCAGCACACCTCACCTATTGAATTTGCTTCTTTTCTTGTCTCATTACTATTTACTTTGGCCCTGGAAGACTAGCTGTCCGGTCATTCAATCTCTACTGATTTTCATGCAGACCTTCCAACTGTCCTTGTCCCAACCCACCCCTTGCTCCACACTTATCAGAAGAAAGGTCACAGAACTGAAATGTTAACTCTTGTTTCTCTCCACAGATTTTGCCATACCTGCTTAGTTTTCCTGGCATACTTCTGTTTTTAACTGAATTGTATTATTTGGTACAAAATACGCAGGATAAAGTATTTGGAAATTTGTGTAAAGCAGAACCCTAGCAAAGTTTTTTTATATATTACTGATATTAAACCAATATAGCTGTGTGTTCATTAGACTTCTTGTTGAAAAATGTCCAATTGTTTCTCTGTTTTATTTGTCAGTGAAGAGAAGACTGGCAATGAAGCTGTAAACAGGCTAGTCTGTATCTGTCAAGCAATTTGAATTTGTATAGCTTAGTTCATGAACAAAAGAGAGATAACATTCTGACTGAAAATCTTGGTTGGAACTTAGTTTGAAGAATCCCAATACTGCAAATTACAAAGAACACAGACTGTAAGAGTTTCAAAGGATGACTGAATGATGATGATGATGATGATGATGCAGCATTGTGCATTGCATGAAAAGCCAGGCCTGTAACACTTTCAAGACCTGCAACTTTTATTTGCAGTTCTTTCCTATTAATTCTATTTCCTGCTGTCAATCTAGTCAAGGCACATTTTAAAAGATAGCCACAATTCTGTAAGCTTTGCTCAGTGGTTGTACTCTTGCCTTAGAATCAAAGGTTGTGGGTTTGATCCCATTCTGGAGGTTCCAGTGTATAATCTGGGCTAGTATTTTAGAACTGAGTGAGTGTTGCCTATCAGATGAGAAATCAAACTAAGGCCACGTGTCTTAGGTTGACATAAAAGATCCTGTGACACTAATCAAAGGAGGGCAGGGGTATTCCCCAAATGCAGAGCACTATTACTATACATCTCTCATTTTGCAACAGCAAAGTGCTTGAGTTCTCTCTCTCTCACACAAACAGTTTTCTCCTGATGTTCTTTCCTCCTGGACTAGAGAATTGCGTTTGAGACAATCTACTGAAATTGCCTTTGCCAAGGGTGTGTTTATTGTTACTATGTTGGAACAGTTGCTGTTCAGTAATTAAATAATCTATTAGTCTGTTAAGTTTTCAACTGGTGCTAAGTTATTCTAATTCATCTTTCTTTTGTTGTATTTTAGCTATAATGTAAGAATAAAGTATATTTTGCTTTACACTTGGTAGTTTGACTAATTGAATTGCATCTGGAACATATTGCCTTACACTTGCCTTTTAACAATAAGAAAAAGTTGGGGTCTAGGCTATCTTCTTAATATATTTTGAGGTGGTTTCATCTGGTCCATAAAATTATTTGCAGGTACATTTTGACCACCACAATTTCTATATTACAACAGTGAACAAACTGTACAAGTACTTCATTGGCTGTGACATGTTTGAGCACGTTCTGAAAACTTGTCAGTTTAAACTATTGTCATGCATTTATGTATGCATTTATAGCTGATATTTATAATTTCAGAGAAAGATAAAATCAAACTAAGAAACATATTTCTACCACTATTTACTAAAGCTGTTGGCATCACCCAACATTAACTTGAGCTTTACAAAATTTCATTATATTTGAATTCATCATGATAATGAATTTCACTTCATACTACTTGATTATCAATAGCAATATCATCATTTAACTTCACTACTATCTTAGCCTCTCAGTTGTAAAATCAAATACATACAATCTAGCTTAAATGATTTCATGCCCACCTTTTTACCAAGTTGGAGCAAATTACTTCAGATCTGGAATCTGCACTGAAAACAACAAATTCTGGAGATCACAGCGGGTCAGACAGCATCCATGGAGAGACAGAAAGCTGATGTTGAGTCCAGGTGACTCTTGGCTCTGATGAAGAGTCACCTAGACTTGAAACGTTAGCTTGTTCTCTCTCCATGGATGCTGTCTGGCCTGCTGTGATCTCCAGCATTTGTTGTTTTCTCCCATATACCAACTTGTTCATAAATTCTCAATTCACCCTTCCAGTGCTTACCTATGAATTCTTTGTGCCATATTAAAAACAGCTACACTTACACTAGATTCATGTGCTATTTATGAAAAAAATGGAGGAAGTCTTGATGGACAGGGAAACTTACATAGCCTTCCATGCCCTCCTGAGGGCTCCAGTCCTTCCAGCTGATTCGACCAGCTCGCATTCGGATTGCTTCATCTGGCCAGTGAAGCTCCCTCCTCTTGGATACATTGATGGCTTCCATGACTTGGCCAGTGTCAATTATCTGCCAGAATAATCAGGAGAAAAAAAAACACGAGGGTCACTAATTAGCAAATATTTTACACAGGGATACTAATCTGGCACTCAGGTTCAAAATCCATTTATATTCCAAACTGCAAGTTTCCATGTTAAATTCAGGGTGACAAAGTTCCAACATAGTTATACATGCGCCACTGTTACACCTTTATCATACTTGGTAATGCTTGATAGGATATACAACTTATTGAAGATCTGTGCACCAGAACATTTGTCATGTTTCATATACTGAGTCCAATGTTGAATCTCAATTCTTACAGTAGCTTCCAAGCTGTATAATTAGCCATCACCAGACTTTTGATTGATGCAGAAATGTTTGACCACTTAGTTGGTATTTACTTTAATCACTTAACATTCTGTCTGTACAAAGGGCTACCTTTGTACTGAATAATAGCATGGCTTGTGTTACATCTTTTCCCTTTTAAAGAATTACCGTTTAACTTACTGACAACCATTAAATGTACATTAGTCCATAGAAAATCAAAAATGCCAATTCCTGCACCGCTGTTTAGCCCTCAGTTATGATCAGCTTACAGTTATCACAGGGGCATTTTTTCCCCCAGTCAGCTACATGCTGGGAAGATAGGGGAAAACTTATCACAATGGATTGCTCACAAGAGAATGAGCAGATTCCACCCAGTGTTGTACTTCAGCAGCTGAAAAATCAGCACTTCTAGAACTACATTGGTCTCACTGCTGTGGTAAGACTGTACATTAACTGAGTTGCACTGTGAGATGACTCTGCAAATCCAACTGTGCGATAAGATGCTTTGGCTTTCAGAAATTCAAATTTCAACTTAATATTCAATTGGTCATACGTTCAGGAATGGATTTGATTTTATCTATTATTATTGATCCATTGTTATAGGTCACATTTTGAAAGCAATACCGTTTTCATGTGGGGCTCAAGAGGGAAACAAAGTTGATCTTTGAGTGAAGTCGAATATGCAAAATTACTCTAGGGTCTAAATTTTTTTTGGCCATATCTAATTGCCCTTCGGAAGGTGACAGTGAGCCACTTAAACCGCTTAAGGCAGTATCCCCCACTATGCTGTAAGGAAGGGAGATTATGACACAGACAATAAAGGAATGGAGATATCATTCCAAATCAGGACTGTGACCTGGAGGAGGTCTTGCAAGTTTGTTCCCATCTGCTGCACTAATGCTTTAGGTGGTAGAACTCAAAGGTTTGGAAGGAATCGGTTTTGTAGTCAGTGGCTGAGTGGTATTATCACTAGACTAGTAGTCAAAAGATTACCACTGTACAAAATATAAGGGTAGAAGTAGGCCATTCGGCTCCACCATTCAATGAAATGATAGCGTATCTGATCATCCTTAACTCCTCTATCTTGCCTTATCCCCATAACCCTCGATTCCCTTGCTGACTAAACATCTATCGCAGCCTTGAGCATACAGCCACTATAGTCCAAGTCCATAGCTCCCTGCAAGTGGCCACGCAAGTAGATATGGTGGTAAGAAGGCGTGTGGCATGCTCGTCTTTATTGGTGGGGAACTGAGTGCAACAGTCAGAATGTCACGCTGCAGTAAGACTTTGGTTAGGCCACACTTAACAGTATGAGCATTCAATTCTGGTCGCCACATTACAGGAAGGATATGGAGGTTTTGGAGAGGGTGCAGAAGAGGTTTACCAGGATGCTGTATGGATTACAGGGTATGAGCTATAAGGAGTGGCTGTTTTCTTTGGAGTGGCAGAGGCTAAGGGAGACTTGACAGAAGTCTATAAAATTATGAGATGCATAGATCGGGTTGACAGTCAGAATCTTTTTCCCAGAGCTGAAATGTCTAAAACTAGGGGGCATGCATTTAAGGTGAGAGGGGAAAATTTTTTTACACAGAGAGGTAGGAGTCTGGAACATGCTGCCAGAGGTGGTGGTGGAGGCAGGTATTACAGGGCCATTTACAGGAATTTTTAGATAAGCATGTGAATATGCAAGGAATGGAGGGATGTGAACCAAAGACAGGCAAAAGGGATTAGTTTAATTTGGCATCATGTTCGGCACAACATTGTGGGCCAAAGGGCCTGTTCCTGTGCTATACAGTTCTGTTTTCTATAGTTCTTTGCATAAAGAATTCCACAGATTCACTAGCCTCCTACAGAAGAAATTCCTCCTCATCCCTGTCTTAAATGGGTGACTGTTACTCTGACATCATGCCCTTTGGTTCTAGACTGTCCCACAAGGGGAAACAATCTCTCGGCATCTGTTCTGTCAAGCCCTTAAGAATCTTCTATGTTTCAATAAGGTTGCCTAATTATTATTACTAGAGACTACTAGCAAATTCTCTAGACTTATGGGTTCAAATTATATCACAACAATTGTTAGAATTTGAATTCATTAGGAAAAAGGTCTGGATTTGAAAACTAGCCTCAGTAACGGTACCATTGAAAGTATCGTACGTTATAAATAGCCAGACTGAGTTTGTCCTGCTTTTTGTGAACTGGAAATCCCTGGGCAATTCTCACATTGCTGGGTAGATGCCAGTGTGTAACAGTATCGGAGCAGCTTGACTTGCAGTGTGGTTAGTTCTGGACCACATGTCTTCAGTACTACAGCAGGGATGAAAACGGAGAACAGATTTTTATTCATCGACATTACATGATTTCAACAGTGCTACATAATGAAATTCTGACATCGTCAGAAGTTTATGAAGATGCTCTAATATTTCTTAGTTTCTGTTTTTCATCTATTTGTCTAATTATTTTCACAGGCAGGCTATCACCTTCCCATTTCTCTCTAATGTTCATAGATTGTTGTTTCAAAATCTCTCTCCGAATGAAGTGATCTACTGGATTCACTCACATACTGATACACTTCCCACCTGTGGTCTTCTGTCCTATCTGTGCTAATTATAGCAGTGACTGGGTTCAGAAAAACACCAACGTATTCACACTGCAGTTTAATGCCTTAATTTGAAAAATATCCTGGTGTCGCCTTAGACTTGTCTAAGGTAGTGTTTTTTTCACCTGTTGCCTCCTGTAGTCACAGCAGCTGCCTGTAAATACGAGTGTTGCAGCTCACTCATCCAAGCCAACAACATGGCTTCTCACCTGGGAAATGAGTAGAGGCACACTGGGCAGAAGACAGTAACAAATCACCGATAATTGCACGTACTATAGGCACATATCATGGATCTGTTACTTCTGAGATATTTTGCTTCCTCCAGCAGTTTATAATGCAAAAGCAGTCTAAATTAATGTTAAGTATTTGAGCCTCTGCAGCAAGAACACAGTGAGCTCTCTGACTGTTAATGATCCAATGATTAGTTAATTAGGAAGCCAGCAGCAAACAAATGCACTATTACGTATTTGCATTTTGTTTACGATGAACAGATAGAACTCCCAAACAAAAGGTAAATCTTAAATGATTTTTATGGTGATATTTTATCATGCTTTTAGAAAAATCAGTGTATAACTTATTATCACATCTAAGAAATTAAAATACAAAAATCAGTCAAAATCAATATTCAAATTATATTGTTTAATATAACCATACCTAGATACCATATAACACTTGAATGGAATATTCCAGGACAATTGGATGGATCACTCAGCTGTCCCCAAATGACAAATGTAAAATTGGTGTAAAGACTTCAGATTTACATTTACCAAATGTTTTATTATGTCTTTCAATAACTTCATTAAAAAAAACTAAATTACACACAGCACAGAGACCGAACATACAGCTAAAAATATTCAGAAATGTTTCTATAGCATAAAATCATTCAGGATTTACCTAATAGTTTCCCACACTGGTTCAGATGCATGGATTCATTCTGATTTTATGAGTCACGGAGTCATAGAGACGTACAGCATGGAAACAGACCCTTCGGTCAAACTCGTCCATGCCAACCAAATAGAATAAATAAATCTAGCCCCATTTGCCAGCATTTAGCCCATATCCCTCTAAACCCTTCCCATTCATATAGCCATCCAGATGTCTTTTAAATGTTGTTATAGTACCAGCCTCTACCACTTCCTCTGGCAGCTCATTCCGTATATTCACCACCGTGTGTGAAAAAGTTGCCCCTTAGGTCACTTTTAAATCTTACCCCTCCCACCTTAAACCTATGCCCTCAAGTTTTGGACTCCTTGAACCATGGGTAAAAGACCTTTTCCATTTATACTATCCATGCCCCTCATGATTTTATAAACTTCTATAAGATCACCCCTCAGCCTCCGACGCTCCAGGGAAAATAGCCCCAGTCTATTCAGCCTTTCCCTATAGCTCAAACCCTCCAACCCTGGCAACATCCTTGTAAATCTTTTCTGAACCCTTTCAAGTTTCACAACATCATTCCTATAGCAGGGAGACCAGAACCGAATGCAGTATTCCAAAAGTGGCCTAACCAATGTCCTGTACAGCCGCAATATGACCTCCCAATTCCTGTATTCAATGCACTGACTAATAAAGGCAAGCACCAAACGCCTTCTTCACTATCCTGTCTAGCTGCAAATTCACTTTGAACCTACTCTCCAAGGTCTCTTTGTTCAGCAACAGACCCCAGGACCTTACCATCAAGTGTGTAAGTCCTGCCCTGATTTGCCTTTCCAAAACACAGCATCTCACATTCGTCTAAATTAAACTTCATCTGCTTCCCATTGGCGCCTCTGATCAAGATCCTGTTGTACTTTGTGGTAACCTTCTTCGCTGTCCACTACACCTCCAATTTTGGTGTCATCTGCAAACTTACTAACCGCACCTCCTGTGATCACATCCAAATCATTTATATGAATGACAAAAAGCAGTAGACACAACACTGATCCTTATGGCACACCTCCTGGTCACAGGTCTCCAGTCTGAAAAGCAACCCTCCACCACCACCCTCTGTCTTATACCTTCAAGCCAGTTCTGTATCCGAATGGCTCATTTCCGCTATATTCCATGTGATCTAGCTTTGCTAACCAGTCTACCGTGAGGAACTTTGTCGAATGCCTTACTGAAGTATATATAGGTCATGTCCACTGCTCTACCCCCATCAATCCTCTTCTTTACTTCTTCAAAAAACTCAATGAAGTTCGTGAGACAAAATTTCCCACGCACAAAGCCATGTTGACTATCCCTAATCAATCCTTGCCTTTCCAAATACATGTAAATCCTGTCCCTCAGGATTCCTTCCAATAACTTGCCCACCACTGATGGAAGGCTCACAGGTCTATTGTTCCCTGGCTTTTTCTTACCACTTTTAGTGAATAGTGGCCCCACGTTAGCCAACTCCTAGTCTTCCAGCACCTCGCCTGCAGCTATCGATGATACAAATATCTCAGCATGGGGCCCAACAATCACTTCACTAGCTTCCCACAGAGTTCTAGGGTACACCTGATCAGGTCCTGGGGATTTATCCACCTTTATGCATTTTAAGACCTCCAGCACCACCTCCTCTATAATATGACATTTTTCAAGATGTTGCTATTTATTCCCCCATGTTCTCTATCTTCCATATCCTTCTCCACAGTAAACACTGATGCAAAAGTATTTGTTTAATATGTCCCCCATCTCCTATGGGTACACACATAGGCAGCCTTGCTGATCTTTAAGGGGCCCTATTTTCTCCCTACTTATCCTTTTTCCTTTATATATTTGTAGAATCCCTTTGGATTCTCCTTAACCCTATTTGCCAAAGCTATCTCAGGTCCCCTTTCTGCCCTCCTGATTTCCCACTTAAGTATACTCTTACTGCCTTTATAATCTTCTAGGGATTCACTCGATCTATGCTGTCCACCTGATGCATGCCTCCTTCTTATCCTTGACCAAAACCTCAATTTCTCTTGTCATCCAGCATTCCCTATACCTACCAGCCTTGCTGGTACCTCTCTGGACTCCTGTTATCTCATTTTTGAAGGCTTCCCATTTTCCAGCCATCCTTTTACCTGCAAACGTCCGTCCGCCCCCACCCCCAGCCAACATTTGAAAGTTCTTGCCTAATACCATCAAAATCGGCCTTCCTCCAACTCAGAACTTTAACTTTTAGATCCAGTCTACCCTTTTCCATCACTATTTTAAAACTAATAGAATTATGATCACTGGAGATGTTCAGACAAGGAATGAATTGGACTCAGTAGAGACTGCTGTTAAACTCACTGAGCATTTCTATTTTTTTACAGTAATTTTGGATATCTCCCAGTTGGAGTTGGCTTTCTACAAGTCTGTTACCTGACTTACATGTAAAACTGAGGTCACAGAAGTGAAAGAATAACAAAGAATGTTTTAGTTGAATAGATAAATGTAGATTGCATTTCATGGACCCTTGTGGGTCATTCATGATTCTAAATGTCAAAGTCATCATTATCTTCAAGCTATAGATATTAAAAGATCTATACTGGTTTGAGATTTATCCATTATGAAGTAACAGCACTAAAACAGCACTGTGCAGTTCTGTAACAACAGCTAATGATAATGTAAACACATTTAAAACTAAGCTATTTGGGCTTCCTCAACGGGATCCAAGGCTCAGAGGTCCTCCTCTAGAGTAGCTTTTTTTTGGGTGAATCTAAGATACATCTGGTTAAAGTGGAGTAAAACAAAACAAAACATTTATTTTTGTCTCCCTCTTGTGGGGAACACAATATTTCTAAGTGTGTACCTGGACTTTATAGTTAATTTCATCCTTCTTGGCAGGGGTGTTAAACGCTGTGCTGGAGTTGCTGCCTGGCTGCATGTCCACACTGGTGACACCTTCTGCTCCAAGAAGTCCTGCCAGTGTGTTGCGTTTGCAGATGGGAATGCTCTGGCTGGAACTGCTGGAAGAGGGCAGACCACACTGTACGCTCAGAGTGCCTGTCTGACTCGATGGTTCTATCTGATTCACCATGGACAGTCGGGACTGGATGGAACTGGGCAGGTTTCGCAAGGACAGCTGGCTAGTGGATGAACGGCGGCATGGCACCAGACCGGTGGCAGATGTCCGTAAGGAAGAGTGACGGGTGTTATGTCGATATGAAGACTGGCTGGCAACTGAGGCACGGGCAGGGGAATGTCGGACGAGGCTGGACTGCACCGACTGACTACTGTGGCTGGTGCCTGTGGAAATCGAGAACAAATTTTTTTTATTCATCAAAGAATCAACTCAAATTCTGAACTCAATTAAACAAAGATATGCTTTGCACACAGTAAATTTTGGAACATATAAGTTTGATATGCAATTACTTTTATATTAGTCTTGTAATAAATCACTCATCAGCAATTACTCTCAAATTATTTTGAGGAACCATCCTCCTGGAATAGTGACTTAACTAAAGGATTTTTACATCCTTATGTCTGGTCATAGTCTCAAACTTAATTATACTAGTTGTGGTGTTGAATGGCTGGTGGGTAGGTGAGAATTAAATTTCTGCTTGCTTTCGATTTCAATAAACAATTTGATCTTCAGAAAATAATCCAAACCAAGAGGAAGAAATGCATTCTGATTTCTTTTCATTGCACAACCTTAAAGGAAATCTGTAGGTATACAGTATAATTCAAACACCATCTAAAGCTTAACAAATAGATTAAGTTCAAACACTAACCCATTATGGAAATCTTTTTCTCTCTGCTTTGCTCAAAACTACAGGCTTCACCTACACTTAAATAAAAAAAAAAGTTAAATGTTTCCTCAATTAATCACTTGAAACTGATCCCAAAGTTGTTCTTCAAACAATTTATGCAACTGGTAATCATCCACTTGTTCAAATTGTAGCAATGAACTTCCTAAAAAATATTAGGTCAAAGCCCAGATTTTGAAAGAAGCTGAGGTGTTGGTGAAAACTATAATGAAACAATTAAAAGGTTCACCTTTTATCCCCATTGACTAGTGTCTCACGGTTAAGATTAATGTTTGCCTTTTTAAGTCCCTCTATGTCTTTGCCTCTCTCGCTCTATTTACACTCCAGTAGGATTAGAGCTCAAACTCTTACAACTTTTGATTCCTTCCTCAGTACAACCCTCCCCCTCTTTGATAATAATTTGGGGTTGCTAAAGTCCCACACTTGGAGTTTAAATAATTCTGCCATTCCACCACTCTTGTATTGCTTTAAGAAATTTCCTTAAATGTTACCTCTTTTCATAGCCTGCTTTATAACTCTCCAGATTTTCCATTCTCTTTTATGAAGCGCTGTGGGGTTTTTTTTGCTACATTTAAGACCCTATAAAATGTTCTATGGTAAAAATGAGTCACAGAAGGCAAGGTTTATTTTACTGGAAATGCAAGCTGGAATCGAGATTTTAAATAGTTATTTACGATAAGCAATTGCGATAAACATTTATTCCCCTTTTTATTTCCTTTACAAGCTGCAAGAGTTAAGAAACTTGTCATTTATTTATTTGATACAGTCCTACTTCAGAGATTGTTTTTTTTAATATATCCCTCTGCAGGTTGCCTTGTATTCTTCAAAATTCATAGCTGCCAGCCCTATTCCAAAAAATAATTAGCCGTCATATCTATAAATGAACCAATTACAAAATCTGCACATCTTTAAAACTGAATGCTTAACTCCCTCTGAAACCTATCAGCTATCAGTTGGGAAAGAGTGACTTGTATTTATACAATAACTTTCGGAGCCTCAGGATGTTCCAGAAATCACTTTGGAACCGGACAGGTGCTTTTGAAGTGTAAGGTGGGAGCCAATATGTGCATTGCCAGGTTCCACATGCATCAATGAGATAATAACCGGATAATTTGTTTTAATGATGTTGGCCGAAGTATAATGTTGTCTAGGATGGTGGGAGAAGGCTAAAACAAAAGCAAAATACATTGGATGCTGGAAATCAGAGATATAAACAGAAAATATTGGAAAAACTTGGTAAGATGAAGGCAGACATTATGATGATCTAAAGTTGTTACTCCTCAAACTGCCCTAAAAATACCTTTCCTCCGTGTAGTATCTTTCTGTGCAAGCACAGAGGATGTAACCACTGTCCTTTTACCTCCTCTTTTCTCACTTTCCAAGGCCCCAAATATTCCTTCAGGTGAAACAGTGATTATCCTCAAGTTCTTTAAATTTAGTATTCACTGCTCATGATGTATTCTCCTTCGCATTTAGGAGACCAAATGCAGACTGAGTTTCTACTCATTTAAACACTTCTGCTAGTCTATAAACATGACTGAGCTTCAGGTTACTTGTCATTTTCGTTCTGTGCTTTGCTCCTATGCTGACTTTTCTGATCACAGCTAGCTGCAGTGATCCAGTGAAGATCAACACAATTTCAAGGAGCAGCAACTTCTCTTTTGACCCAGTATTCCAGGGCATTTTGGATTCAACATTGAGTTCAACAACTTAAATTACAATCTCTGCCTGCATCGTACGGGGTGTTTTATTTTTCTGGTTTGGTCTTGGTCTTGGTCTTGGTCTTATTTCTTTCCTTACTCATTCATGCTGTATTCAAATGGTTTTTACAGCCGTTTAGCCATTCATGACTCATTAGATCACTATCTTTGGTGATTTATCATGTCCATTACCACTCTCTTTCGCTGTTCCATCATGAAATCTTTTGTTATTTAATACTCTGGGCATCAAACCTATTCAAAACATCTAGCAAGTTCAGTGTTTTCTGACAGTTCACTGCTGAACAGATCGGCAATGCACTGTCATAGAAACTGAACCAATTACAATTAATATGCAGTCACTGCACCATAGTAAATACTGGGACTAACAAAAGCAGTATTGAAAAAATGCACTCAAGTATACTGCTGAATAACAAAATCTTACCCAATATCGGTGGGTTAGATGTGACCGGAGGCTGGAGACCTGCTCCAGGCCCATATCCAGCTGGTCCAGAGCCTGCATGGGAAGTACTACTTTGGGACTCATTTGTAGTTACATTATTACTGGCACTGGAGACTCCACCTGCATCTGAATCCTCAATATTTCCTCCACTGTTACAACCGGCACCACAACCTTTGCGTAACCTGCATAGGACAGATACAATCAGGTAGAGTAGGTGGAGACTTGTTTTAGAGTTTCTCAAGCAAGAGTATGTCAGCTTCTGTCAATCCAACACATAACATAGGAATATCACACTGTCATTGTCCACAGATCTGGTTCAGAAATAAAAGGACTGTACTGAACGATAGCTATTTCTCAGCTACCATTGACTGTATTATCTGTTATCAGACTTATTTCTCTTCCACCTGTTCCCTCTGGAAACCACCTTTCTGACACAATAGATAAAGTGACAAGAAAATTTCAGCCATGTTTGGAAGCATTTGTTACTAATTATTATTCATTAGAATTCATAGTTAGAATTAAACCCATTTGTTTCAAAACCAGCTTTAGTGTTTCCAGAGACAGTAGGAACTGCAGACGCTGGAGAATCTGAGATAACAAGGTATAGAGCTGGATGAACACAGCAGGCCAAGCAGCATCAGAGGAGCAGGAACGTCAGCCTGCCTTTAGTGTTTCCATCCTCCTTTTCCTATCCAAGCTTTGTGCCAAGTACTGTGAATATTTGCCCACTTAAACAAAGAGCAACACAACTTTAGTATGAGTGCAAAACATTCAGTGATGCCAATGCTGGATGCAAACTTCTGGCACGTAAAACAATTAGACTGTGTTCTTGTTTGCCCTTCAAGGTAAGATAGCCACGTGCATGATTTGGGGTGTTGTTGAGGTCTTGGTTTGTACATAGGTGACTGTTAAGGCTGGTCTGTACCCGAAAGGTTCTGCTGTAAATAGGAGAAGATAACACAGTTTGTTGAGTTTCTGCCAAGTTGCTAGCTCAGGGTTTCCTCTTCTTACATTTTCTCTCTGCCTCTGGAATCTACTTATTTTACTCAGAGGCTGTACTTTTGTTTTATTTGGTTACACCAGGTGCAGTGATTCCATCTGAGGTTCTCCCAGAACTTCAAGTTGATACTAAACTTCTAAATGAAGCCTCCAGAGTGTCCTTGTAGCACTTCCATTGATCACCATGCAAGTCCACCTCAGACTCAATGTCTCCATATTAGATTTGCTTTGGTAAGAAAGAGTCAGGAGTTCTGACTTCATGACCTATCCAATTCAGTTGTGACTACCTCAGTACAGTGTGGATCCTTGGCAGGCCAGCTGGGTGAGCACCTCGGTGTCAGTTATTTGTTTTGCCATTTGATCTTCGGGAACTACCAAAGGAAGCTCAACAGACGTGATTGATCTTGGCATGGTGCTGGCACACAGTCTAAACCTTGCATGTAGAGTCAGCAGGACTCTTGTCCCATTGACTTTCAATGTGGTATGCACTGAAACATTACTGGCAATTTTATCTATATCATAAATCTATATTGTTAAATCATCCTGTATGAAGTCAACAGAAAAATAGATCATCTGGGTCGTGTCAGATTCAAACCAGATTTTGTTCCTAAAGCCTTTTACAAATTATTTGCTCATGGGACGTGGCATGAGCCAGCATTTATGCCCATCCTTACTTCTTTCAAGTATGGGGTCTTTGTAATTCAAAGGGCAGTTAAGAGACAACCACATTGCTGTGAGTCTGAAGTCACATGTAAATATGACAGATTTTCTTCCCTAAAGGACATTAATGCACCAGACGGTTTTTCATAATAATTGGCAATGGTTAGATGGTCACCTTTAGACATGATTTTTTAATTCTGTATATATATTGATTTCAAATTTCACCATCTCCAAGAGTGGAATTCAAACCCATGCCCACAGAACCTTAGCCTGGGTCTCTGGATAACTTGTCCACTGATATTACAAACTATGCTACCATCTCCCAACACACTTACTGTGTAACAAGCTTGCACTGTCTAAAACTGGTAGCATGAATGACAGGGGACCAGCATTTTTGGAATTAATAACCATTAACAGAAGAATTCCTTCAGATAAACTTGTGCATATTCATCAAGGTGAGGGTTGCAATGATTTGATGATTTGGACACACATCACAAGAATTTCCAGATCAAGGAAACTCGGCTGATGTGGAGTAAAACTGAAATATCATTTTGAAATGAAGGGTTAATATCTATCTAACTCAAGAGGGGGTAACATTAGTTTCAATTAGAAACAATATTTTGTCTACTTCCTACACTCATCAGTAACACACTGACTTTTGTTACTTTGCATTATTTTATATTTATGGTTGCTGAATAAAGTATACCAAACCTTTTTATTTGAAAAATGTTCAATTTCAGTGCTACAGTGCAAACACTTACCTGTGCCATGTAGACACAATAAAATTCTTTATGTTCGTGATACTTATGGGTCCTCCCAGGATGGTTCTTAGCTGTTCATGCGTATCAGAGTAGGATGTTGTGAGTGGAGAAACATAAATTGGGTAACCAATTGGCTGGTCACATGAAGAGTTTATCATGTTCCTTAAGGCTTGTTTTGCGTTTTGGATACTTCCTCGTTCAGGATTGCGGTTTCGCAGGAAGACCAGCTCCTGCTGTTGCCCAGCCCACAATCCCCGGACACATTCCTTGTTAACCTGCACGGAGATATGAACAGTGTGTGAAAAACCACAGCAGAGAGATCACTCATGAGTTCTTTCTCTCCCTCTTTAATTCTTTACTTTAGCTTTCAGAGCCTAATACTGATGTTACACAAAATTTTGGTACAAAGTCAGCAGCTCCTTTTGACTGTCAGTGGCTCTATTTGCATTAGTGACAATATATACACTGCACAACCTGCCATGTTCTAAATCTTAAAGCATCTACACGTATGCTTGTGCATAAAGGGGAACTGCTGACATGAGCCTTGAGTAGTTAAGAGTTCCGTGATGCGCAGCTTGCAATACTGGACCGTTACAAAGCTGTGAAAGCCAGCTTCCATCAATAAGTAGGTTCCTTGTGGTCAATGAATTCTCCAGCATTCTGACAGGTCTTCACTATTGACATAGTGCTTTCAGTCTAATTGGGTGAAAGCACAGTCAGCAAAAGAAATACTGTTACAAAGCAAAATGCTGTGAGTGCTGATTCAGCACAGTGTGAATATCTGTCACATGCCCATCTTTTGAAAATAAATATTTATTCAGAGGAGACTATTAAAAACAATGCTTGAGGTGATTTATTGAAATGATGGCACTTCTTAGAGATACCAGGAACACTATACAGATTATATTAAAAAGCATTACATACTGTACTGTCCAACATACAAGTTGCTGATTCTTGCAAATATGAATAATCTGAACAAAATTGTACCATTTCCTCATTAAAATTCAAAATCTGTGGTTATTTTCTTTGACAGCCAATTCTGAACCAAAATCCATTTCAGTTTCTAAAACAGTATACCTAGGTAAAGGTAAAGTCATCGTCACCATTATCATACCTGACTACAGGGGTGCTCTTTCATTAGAGAGAGAGAGAGATGAATAGGTGGTGGTTTAAATCAAGGATCACCATGCATCAGTCAAGGAGAGAGGTTGAGAAGGAGGGTCCTTCATGGTTACCTCGGTGTTGCTGTTGGCATTATTCTGCATTACAAACCAGCTATCCAGCCAACTGAGCTATCCAACACTGATGAGTATTCCTAGAAGAGGCAGTTAAACTTCTGAAAATGATGTAGATTTGCTTACTCTGCTTTTCCCCTAAGGCTTAAAAGGGCATTGTATTTAGTGGAGCTGGTCAGTTATCCTGCCAGTTCAAAGCAGCACCGTCTTTCTGCATCGGATACATATGCTCAAGTTGCAACTGCTGTGTCAATTTTGTTTTATTCACTTGTAGGATGTGGACATCACTTGGCTGGCCAACATTTAATGCCCATCTTTAGTTGCCCATCAGAAGGTGATGGCGAGTTGGCTTCTTGAACTGCTGCAGGTAGACCCACAATGCCCTGAGAGAGGGAATTCCAGGATTTTGACCTGGTGACACTAAAGGAAAGGTAGGATGGAGAGTAGCTTGGAGGGAAACTTGTAGGTGCTGGTAATCCCATATATTTCCTGTCGATGTCCTTCTAGATGGTGGTAGTTGTGGGTTTGGAAGGTGCAGTTGAAAGAACCTTGGTGAATTTCAGCAGTGCATCTTGTAGAAACAAACACTGCTGCAACTGAGTATTGATGGTGGATGGAATGGAATGGATGCTTATAGATATGGTGTCAATCAAGTGGGCTGCTTTGTCCTGGATGGTATCAAGCTTCTTGAATTTTGTTGGAGCTGCACTCATCCAGGCAAGTGGGGAGTATTCCACCACACTCCTGACTTGTGCAATGTCGATGATTGTCAGGCTTTCAGGAGTCAGAAGGCGAGTTACTCATTGCAGTATTCCTATTCTCTGATCTGTTCTTGTAGTCACTCTTTTTATATGGCGAGGCCAGTTCAATTTCTGGTCAATAGTAACCCCCAGGATGTTGATAGTGGGGGTAATGCCATCGAGGGGTGGTGGTAAGATGTCTCATATTGGAGATGGTCATTGTTTGGCACTCGTATGGCACGAATATTAAGACCTTAAGACAATAAGAAATAGGAACAGGACTTGGCTGTTCAGCCCCTTGAGCCAGCTCCACCACTCAATAGGATCATGGCTGATCCGACATTCCTCGTGTCCACTTTCCTGCCCTTTCCATGTAACTCTGTGCTGTACTCTTGCAAGAGGATGATGAGAAGATAGAAAGACTTATTAGGTATTTTTCTAGAAAGTTGAGTGTTCAACAACTGAGATGTTCCACAATTGAGAAGCAGACCTTGAGCTTGGTGTTGGCATTGCAAAATTTCAATATTTATGTTGCCAGTAATATGTCAGAGCCAACTGTGTATAATTATCATAACCTTTAAACAATTTTGGAAAATTTTAAAGATACCAGACAGTTTATGTGGAGTTTATTGTTACAGCCATTCAATTTGAAAATTATCCATGCGACAGGATGAGAGAACGAAATTATCGTTGCATTATCTCGACTTAGATGAAGGTGTTTGGTGTCGGAAGAAATGGATTGTAATGGACTGTAATATTAAATTGTTTGCATGCTTAGAGTCAATGCAATGTATATGTATTGTACTGTACTAATAGCGTAAGACTGAAAGGTTTTAAAAATGAACCCATCTTTGTAATTGATGGGTTTTTTTTTTTAAAAGGGGGGAGGTGTGACTTTAAGAGGTGTGTTTTGTCCTTTAATGAAGAGAGGTTGAGACAGAGGTGTGAGTAGTCTGTTCCAAACCAATAAAGTAAACAGTTTGGTAGGAAAGTTGGAACAGTAGAAGCAGCGTGAATGGGTGGGGTCAGGCTCCCACGGAACCAAGGTTTTAGTTTAGTTTTCAGTAGTTGTTGGAGTTTTGAAGCTGCCATACATCTCTCCCTTCTATAGCAAATGTGCGAGTTTATTCCCTCTGCCAGAATTTTCTCAATGTTTTCCTCCTGGTCTGCTGAAACATTGCCTGTGAGACAATCTATTTTACTGATTTTGCCTTTGCCAAGGGTGTGTTTATGGGATGTTACTATATTGGAACGGCTGCTGTTTGGTAGTTAGATCAAGCTATTGTACAAGATTAGTATCTTGGTGGAATAACAGATGCTGATTCCTTTGATTCTAGTATGGAGGTCTGCAGATACCTTTACTGATACACAGATATTGGCTGATGGACGTTTGCTGATCAATTGGCCATGGTGGCTCTGTGTTGGCACTGCTGCCTCACAGCACCAGGGACCCGGATTCAATTTTGGCCTCAGGGGACTGTCTGTGTGGAGTTTGCACATTCTCCCCGTGTCTGCGTGGGTTTCCTCCAGGTGCTCCGGTTTCTTCCCACAGTCCAAAGATGCGCAGGTTAGATGGATTGGCCATGCTAAATTGCCCTGTAGTATCCAGGCATGTGTAAGCTAGGGAAATGTAGGGTTTAGAATAGGTGTTTGGGTCTGGGTGGGATGCTCTTCGGAGGGTCAGTGTAGACTTGATGGGCAGAATAGTCTGCTTCCACACTGTAGGGATTCTCTTCTCTAAAACCAACTACTGCTGCTACAACAACAACTTGTATTAATAAAAGTACTTTTAGGGTAGAAAACTGTTCCTTGCAACTTCACAGGCGCTTGATAAAATTTGTCCCCAAACCACACAAGGAGATGTGTGCAAGAACAATAGCTCGGTCTTAGAAGTAAATTTTAATGAATGTCTTAAAGGAGGAGAGAAGGATGAAAGCCTGAAGTGTTTAGGCAGGGGTTAAAGAGCTTAGAGCCTTTGCGGCAGAAGCTCCAATCATCAATGGTAAAACAATTAAAACTGAGGGTGTGCAATAGGCCCCAGCAATACAAAGATCTTGGTTGGTTGCAGCGTTGCAGAAAATTTGAAATATACAAAAATGACAGCAATACTGATTTTATTTTGACCTTCAGTTGCCGAGTTCAATATCTCAAATTTCATACAGAAGGTGACAGCATCAAAATATGTTTACCAGTTTAGCTGACTGTAAGATCCAAGCTTTTCTACCATGTCTTCATGGGGCCAGTAAACCAGCCACTCGAAAGCAACATACTTCAGTTTTTTTTCAATGATTCAAAGTTATTGCACATGCAGCCAACTTGTCATATCATACTGTAGACATCTCCACTTTGTGCGTACACACTTTCTAAAATGTCTGTTTGCCTAAGCGAGATATGGTGCCCCCCTACAGTGCAGTTAATAAGCAGAGAAATCAGCTGCATATCACAAATATGAATACAAGGAAATGAGATACGTAGTTTGCTTTCCCAAAGGAAATGTTGAACTGTAAAACATAACTGAGAAATAAAGCCATTAAGAGAGTTGAAGCAAAGGGGAGGAAGGCATCCTTTTTTTAAATATAATAAAACTCATGAATCCATTAATTGATCAAGATAATAATCTGGTACAATAGCTTGGTCGAAGAATCATAAGGCAGCTTTAGGCTGCTGGAAGCTTTGTCAATGACAGACAAGGAATACCACAAGGAATGCCACCGGTATCAAAAGCACTTTCTGATACAAGTCTAGACGTTGGAGAGCCAATTGTATTCAACCATGAACTTTGTATGTCTTTCATGAGCTGCCAGGTAAACATTTACACACAGAGCCAGATTCCTTCCTTTTCAGCAAGGGAAATTGCAAGTGTCCAAACCTGATGCAGAGAAATTGCAGGAAGAAGAGTAAACATGTGTGAAGGACATATGAATGTTGTGGGTGAAGTTTAAGCTGCATCTACCAGGACAGATTCTGTAAATATGAAGTAAGACTCAGCATTAAGTTTAAGTTTAGAGGCACTGGTTTGCTGACCATCAAGAGCCACTGATTTCTGATATTGAGGACTCTTGACTTAGCAGTGATGGGCAACAACCCTTCATTACTTCATTCAGGCTTTCTTACAGATATACCAAATGAAGAACAGTACAATCTCAGCCCTTACCTTTTCTCCATAAGAAAATTAATTTCTGTAAAGGATATGCATTTGCAAACTGGTAATTACAAGCCATTCCATTGCATCTAGCAAGTTAATGAGTCACATTCTGGGCTTCAGGTAAGGTCTAATAGTGAATCTATGTAAATGCTACATTCCAAGGTGTGAAACTGAAAACAAAACAAAGCTATAGATTGAAATGGACATTCTGTGAAGTGCTGGACTTTATGTAACAAACATCTATGGTTGTGTAATGTCTCCAAAGCCTTCAATCATCTGATATAATATAGCAACTCAAAGCAATGTACCTTAATAACTCGAAAGCTAAGATATCGCTTATTCAGCATAATGATTTTATATTCATTGGTCCCATCATCCATAACATGTCGCAAAGCCAACAGTGAGGGTGAGTTGGACAGCACCGCACTTCGCCAGGCTGGGTCTCCTTCATGAGCGATGACTAAGTTCTGCTCATGGGATGTTATGGCGTCAAACAACACTGCTGGATCATCATATTCATCAGGTGAGGTGAAGTGATCCTGAAGACACAAACAGACTAAACTTAAGGAAACTCTTGGATTTTGTGCATCACTGAAATGATACCATCAAAATAAACTGTCCGATTAATAATGGTCTTAGAATTTTAGAGGCAGTGAAATCCACAAAGGCTTTTATACATCTCCCATTGCTGATTCAGAAAGAACAAGTCTTTGTGTTTAACTTTTCTCAATGCTGATCCAGTGGGCTCACTGGACTGCTAACAGACAGTGCAGTGTTTTATCTGGCAATAACAGTTCCACTGACTGCCACAGGAGTTGAGAGTTCAAATAAGCCTGGAACTGATTCCAGATATACCTATTCCTGTAAGAGAGTGTTAAAAATTCGGGTATTCAGTAGTGGCCTCCATTCCAGTCAATGGAGTCATTCTGGGATGCAAGGAGTAAATCTCCCAGAAAGCAATGCACATTTTTAAAATTTTCTTCTGAATAGACAATATGCTTAAAAGTATTTTTAAAATTCATGGAGACTTCCTACACTTAAGTCATTTATTGCAATTACTTTTCTGGCAGTTTATTACATGCGAAGGAAGTTCCCTAAATCAAGCCTTTGCAAACAGTTTTTCTAGCATACTTAGCATCATCATTAAAATCCCATAAAACAGTAATGAATCTCGATAGCAGACATCAACGAATTGCATCATAAAGGACAGATGATTTATTTTGTTAATAAACAGATTCAGTGCTATTAGTTCCAATTACAATAGGGGAACCTAATAACAAAGGGTCAGCTAGACCATTATCTTCTGCTCCAAATATTACTATGCTTTACATTTTGAAACAATTTATGGTAACCAGTTGTAAACTTGAAGACTTTTGAGTAGTGAAACGGTTAATGCTTCAACGAGTAAAAGATTGCAATAACTTGCAGATCCTTTCACTCGGTTTACTATTTAAATATGCTTTAAAATATTTAATCAAATGTAGTATATTAATTAATGCTTGCAATGGTTTCCAGTCTAATCCTCAACATTGGAGTTTTAAATTCAGCTAACTACAACGCCTCCAAATAATAAATGGAACCTAGGTGCTCAATTCTGCAAAATGTTGCAACACAACTCATTAGGGCATCTTGATTAAGCACAGTGTTATGTGGATAAAATAATGTTGATTCACTGAAAAAGGGATTATTGAAACAGACTCATTGTCATGACCCAATGGAAGGAAAATAAATTTAAATTGATAAATATCCTTCACCTTTGTGATTTTCATAGAATATGTTCCATGTTTTACTGCAGACAGCTGCATCTGTTCTAGTTATTCCACAACACTTGTGTGGAGAACAGTGTGCAGTAAAGCGTAGATAACTGCTGTATAAATCATGGATTAATTGGAATAAGGTAACTCAAGCCCGGCAAAACGTCTTCAGTATTAAATGAATGATACTGTATGGATTTTACAGAAATGTTTTCCTTCTTCACCTTCAAAAATAAATGATTAATGCGTTCATCAATTTAAAGTCAATCTGCTGAAGATCAGATAGCATTTCTGATTGAAGACTCTCAATCCCAAGTGTGGAATGACTTACAAAAACAACCAAACCAATTTTTCTTCTTTCTTATAGAATGTACTGTGGCTTACACCTGTTGCCAACTTTAAACTGTGAATAGAATGACAGTAGCTGATAATAAATTAGCTTCTGATCTCATTATAGTGCGCCAAAGAGTCAACATATAGTGAAGTACAAGATTATCTTACTGTAGCAGTTAAGTAACTGAAAAAGTTCTCACTTTCATACCAACAGTACAAGGAGATGCATGAGTAGGTAACTGATTAGAAGGTAGGAGACAGAGGTGTGCTGCTTGCTGATGATGGGAACTAGTAGACTTGGAAATCTTTAAAGGCCAACAGAAAGCCACAAAAAAAGTTATAAAGAAAAGTAAGATAGATGATGAAAGTAAACTAGCTCAGAATATAAAAACAGGCAGCAAAAGCTTCTATAAATATGTAAATTGTAAAAGAGTGGCGAAGGTAAACATTGGTCCTTTAGAGGATGAGAAAGTCAATTTAATAACTGGGAATGAGGAAATAGCCAAGGCATTAAACAGTTGTGTGTCGGTCTTCACAGCGCAAGACACAAATAACATGCTGAAAACTGATGACAAGAAGGTTGTAGCAGGTGAGGACCTAGAAACTATCATTATCACTAAGGAGGCAATGCTGGGCAAGCTAATGGGACTAAAGGTAGACAAGTCTCCTGGCCCTGATGAGATGCATCCCAGAGTACTAAAAGAGGTGATGGAGGAAATAGCAAATGCACAAGTAATTACTTACCAAAATTCACTGGACTCTGGGGTGGTTCCCGCAGATTGGAAAACAACCAATGTGACGCCACGGTTTAAAAAAGGAAGTAGACAAAAAGCAGGTAACTTTAGGCCAGTTAGCTTAACTTCGGTAGTGGGGAAAATGCTTGAATCTATCATTAAGGAAGAAATAGCAAGACATCTGGATATAAATTGCCCCATTGGGAACACACAGCATGGGTTCATGAAGGGTAGGTCATGTTTAACCAATTTGGTGGAATTCTTTGAGGACATTACTTGCATGGTGGACAATGGGGAACCTGTGGACGTGGTGTATCTGGATTTCCAGAAGGCATTTGACAAGGTGCCACACCAAAGGCTACTACATAAGATAAAGTTACACGGTATTACAGGTAACATATTGGCATGGAGAGAGGATTGGTTGACTAGAAGAAAACAAAGAGTAGGGGTAAATGGGTGTTTTTCTGGTTGGCAGTCAGTGGCTAGTGGTGTGCCTCAGGGATCAGTGTTGGGACTGCAATTGTTTACAATTTACTTGGATGATTTGGAGTTGGGTACTAAGTGTGTCAAAATTTGCAGATGACACTAAGATAAGTGGTAGAGCAGAGTGTGCAGAGGACACAAAGTCTGCAGAGGGATATAGATAGTCTAAGTGAGTGGGCAAAGGTCTGGCAGATGGAGTACAATGTTGATAAGTGTGAGGTCATCCATTCTGGTAGGAATAACAGCAAAATGTTTTAAGTGGTAAAAAATTACAGCACGCTGCTGTGCAGAGGGACTTGGGTGTCCTTGTGCATGAATCGCTAAAAGTAGGATTGTAGGTGCAGCAGGTAATTAAAAAGGCAAATGGAATTTTGTCTGTCATTGCTAGTGGGATGGAGTTTAAAAACAGGGAGGCTATGCTGCAGCTGTATAGGGTCCTGGTGAGGCCAGACCTGGAGTACCGTGCGCAGTTTTGGTCTCCTTACTTGAGAAGGGATATACTAGCACTGGAGGGGGTGCAGAGGAGATTCGCTCGGTTGATTCCAGAGTTGACAGGGTTGGATTATGAGGAGAGACTGAATAGGTTGGGATTATACTCACTGGAATTCAGAACAATGAGAGGAGATCTTATAGAAACATATAAGATTATGAAGGGAATAGATAAGGTGGAGGCAGGGAGGTTGTTTCCGCTAGCAGGTGAAACTAGGACTAGGGGGGCACAGACTCAAAATAAAGGGAAGCAGATGTAGGACTGAGGTCAGGAGGAACTTCTTCACCCAAAGGGTTGTGAATCTATGGCATTCCCTGCCCAGTGAAGCAGTTGAAGCTACCTCGCTGAATGTTTTTAAGGCAAGGCTAGATAGATTCTTGAACAATAAAGGAATTAAGGGTAATGGTGAGTGGGCAGGTAAGTGGAACTGAGTCTCAAAAAGATCAGCCATGATCTTATTACATGGCGGGGCAGGCTCGAGGGACCAGATGGCCCACTTCTGCTCCTAGCTCTTATGTTCTTATGTATGTCAGATAATGTAGTTCCTCAGATAATGAATGCTGTATCAACCGAACAATATCCAGACTTGGACTGATGAATAGCACAAATGTTAATTGCTATAGAAGTGCCAAATAATGACCATCTCTTATTAGAGAGAGCACCCAGGCACCTACCTACAATACTGCTATTGCTAAATCTGCTGATGCCAAGACCTTGCAATCGTCATTAACCAGAAACTCAAGTGGTCCGGCCACAAACAGTAGAGCATCTAAAGGATACAAGAGAGTCTTGAGAAGCCTGTCAACTATCCACAAGGCACAAGTCAGGAGTGGTGGAAGATGCCTGACTGAGTGGGCTGCAAAAACACTTGATGTTTGAGGCTATCTACAACTACACAGTCTGCTATCACGAGAAATTCGGGACAGTATTGTATCAAAGGAAAGGGCATACAAATTTTCCAAAGAAAGGGGCAGACCTGAGGATTGGGAGCAGTTTAAATTTCAAAGAAGGAGAACAAAGGTATTGTTTAAGATGGGGTTGGTGGAGGAGGAGGGGGTGCAGTACGCAAGAAAACTCATGGAGAATGTATAAACTGATTTTCTTCATTCACTCATGGGATGAGGGGATCGCTAGCCAGGCTAGCATTTATTGCCATCTCCAGCTCCCCTTGAATACAGTGGCTTGCTCGGCCATGTCAAGGGTAACCGAGAGTCAACCACATTGCTGTGGGTCTGGAGTCAAATTAAGAATGGCAGATTTGATTCCCTGAAGGTCATTAGATTGCAAAACCTTTTGTAGGTATTTGAAGTGAAACAAGGTTACTTTAGAAAGATGTAGGTCCCTTTCAGTCAGCAAAGGGGAAAGCTATAATGCAGAACAAAGAGATGGCAGACCAGTTAAACACATATTTTGGTCCTGTCTTTACAAAGGAGTATGCAAATAACACTGAAAAATGTTGGAGAATGCAGGGTCTAGTGAGGGGGAGAACTGAAGGAAATCAGTAGTAGCAGCGAAATGGCGCTGAGGAAATTTGTGGGATTAAAGGCTAACAAGTCCCAGGGCCCAATAATTTACATCCCAGATTACTTAAAGAAGTGGATCTAGAAGTAGTGGATGCATTGTTGGTCATCTCTCCACTCGGAACAGTTCTTATAGATTGAAAGGGAGCTAATGTATAAACCCACTATCTTAAACAAGTCGTCTCTGGAATTTTAGACTGATTGGCCTGACATTGGTAGTGGGGAAAATGCTGGAGCCCATTATAAAATAATTAATAGCAGAGCATTTGGAAAACTGTGACAGGATCAAACAGTCAGCATGGCCTGACGAAACGAGAATCATGATTGACAAATCTACTGAAATTCTTTGAGGAAGTAACCAGTTAATGTGGGGGAGCCAGTGAATGTGGTTTATTTGGACTTTCCAAAGGTTTTCAACAAAATCCCACATAAGGATTAGCGTGTAAAATTAAAGTGCATTAAGGGAAGTATATTGAGATGGATAGAAAACTGGTTGGTAAACAAACACTAGGAATAGACGGGTCATTTTCAGAATGGCAGGCAGTGACTAGTGGAGTACCATAGGATCAGTGCTAGGACCCCGGCTTTTCACAATATATATTAATGATGTGAATAAGGGAACTAAACTTAATGTCTCCAGATGCGCAGATGATACAAAGCTGGATAGGAATGTGAGGAGGATGCAGTGTGATTTGGACAATAAGAGTAAGTGGGCAAATGCATGGCAGGTGCAATATAATGTGGATTAATGTGAGTTTGTTAGTTAGGTTTTTTGTTAGTTAACAAAAGCAGGAAGGCAGATTATTATTATCTGATAGGTTGGGAAATGGGGAGGTGCAATGAGATCTAGGTGTCCTGGCATACCAATTGCTGAGAGTAAGCGCGCAGGTGCAGTGGGCAGTGAAGGCGGCAATGGATGCATCAGCCTTCATAGCAGAAGGATGAATACAGAAACAGGGATATCTTGCTGCAATTGTACAGGGTCTTGATAAGATAATGCCGTAAGCACTGCGTGCAGTTTTGGACTCCTCTTGTGAAGGAGGATGTTCTGGTTATGGAGAGATTTCAACAAAGTTTTACCAGACTGGTTGGCAGGACTGATGTATGAAGAAAGACTGGAATGGTTGCGAACATATTCGCTGGAGTTTAGAAGAATGAGGGGAATCTCATACAAGTCTATGAGATATTAATAGTACTAGGCAGGGTAAACACGAAGGGTGTTCTTGATGACCAGGGAGTCCAGAATCAGGAGTCCAGTTTAAGGATACAGGGTAGGCCATTTAGGAGTGAGTTAAGGAGAAATTTCTTCACCCAGAGAGTGGTGAGCCAGCAGAATTCCTTGTCATAGAAAGCAGTTGAGGCCAAAACATTGAATGTTTTCAAGGAGTTAGATGTAGCTTTTAGGGCTGAAGGGATCAAAGGGCATGGAGAGAAAACTGAAACAGGGTACTTAGTTGGATGATCAGCAAGGAGCAAGCAAACGGCCTATACCTGCTGGGATTTTTTAAGTTCCTATGTTAAAAGCCTGTCCCAGGGAAGAGTGACCCAACCACACTATTTGTTTGAATTAAACTATATAATCTGAAGGTTTTCAGTAACTCAAATAGACTTTAGATATTTGACTGAGTGGCCATTCAAAGTTGTTAACTTTAAGAATAACTTTTTAAATAGCTTATAAATTATCTCCTATTAGAGATCATTAAAGTTATGAATAGATTGAACAGGAGAGATGTGGAAGGATATTTCCATACGTGGGATGATCAAAATCCATGCGATCGTGGAATTCATTTGCCCAGGTCTCAGCAACAGCATGAATATTTTCAAAACAGAATATGTGGCAGAAAAAAAGTATAGAAAGATTTGAAAGACGGAGATGAGGCAGATGGAATGGGAGGAGATTTGTATCGAGTATAATACCAGTGTAGACTAGCTCAGCTGAATGGACTGCTTCTCTGCTCTATATTCTTAATAACCTCATCAACTTATGACCTCAGACTCATGTTACTGGGAAGCTCAATATGCAGTATCCTCTGATTTGTAACCAGTAGATGGTGTTTACTGCCTGACTCATTGTCTGGTTTCTTTCCTGTTGATTCAGTGAGAAATATTTTCTTCATTCAATCAACAGCTCGAAAGTAGACAAATCAAGACTTATTGGATTAAATTCATCCCAATCAGAACAGGTTACTGTAAAATGGATTAACAAACCAAGGTAGCTAATTTTCTGGCTTCTTTCCTGTTGGTACAGTAAGAAGTATTTTCTTCATTCACTCAACAGCTTGAAAAGTAGACAAATCAAGATTTAGTAAATTAAATTCATCCCAATCTGAATATAAGGTGGCTCACCAAACCAGGTTAGGCATCATTCATCCCTAGACATCCATTAGGAGGCAAAATCGCAGACAATTTCTAGTAAATTGCTAAAGGATGTCATGAAGGAATTATCTGTTTCCTTGGAAATACATGTCGGGCATTTAAACTCCATAGATAACAGGTGGAAACTTTTGTACAGTTCTAGATAGGTTGTTTTACCTGATGAAGTTTAAGGGACATCCGTATTCCAGGAACTACTACTTTCCGCAACAGTTCCATATCAGCAAATATCCACTCATCTCGCACTGAGGAAATTCGAAAATCTCCCTTGAATAGTGCATGAAGGCCATATAGGAAGGACTCTAGATTACTAAAAGGAAATATGTTACATAATAGTCAGGCTGAAATTAACTACAAAATGGTTCTGTATCAATAAATCCACAATTTTAAGATAGCAATTGCAAAGCAGTGAAGCACCAACATTCAACACCAAATGTTGAAAAAACTTGGACTCAACTCCTCCTTGTGTTAAGCTCCTCATTTCATCTCTTATGTTAAACACAGCTTTCTTGAGAAGACTATGTTCTATGTCTATGAACAATACCCACTTAGCAACAAGGCACTGCTGACCCAGTAATGGGAAAAGAGTGAGGCAACTTTCAAGAAAGCAACAGTATTTCTCTAAAATGCAGTTGACTGGTTTTGCTCCTAGAATTGTAGCTGAACTGTAGTCATTATTGTTTCTGTCCCTCTTACTATCTGCAGGCTGACTCTAACTCTACCCTGGATCACAACTCCAGTATTAGTCCAAATAGAACCAACCTGCAGTGTGATTATACAGGCAGAGCTGTCTTTCTTTCTAGCACCTCTTGTTCCATCTCTTTGCAGTAACATGACACTATAAACCTGCGTCTCTGTCCCTGCACAAGCACTGCAGCAGCTAACTATGGCATTGCTGAGAAACTAAGCCTTCTTTTATAGCAAAATCTCAACACAGGTTCTGTCCAAGATGAGCCTATGATAGGCAGGAACTAACTGGACTTCAAGTTGCGATTTAATTATTTCTATTGAAGTTTAACGTTATACTGCCTTTATCCTTTTTATTATGGCCTTATTAATCTCTTTCTATTGTTGGGAATTTGTGTACCTTTATCCTTAGATCTCTTTGCTCTATTATCCCATTTGGATTCCCATTATCCAAGCAGAGTCCTTAGTCTTCCTACCAAAATAAACCACGTGAAACTTAACTCATTTGCCAGTTCCAAGCCCATTCAGCTACCACAATCCTCTGAATAAAGGGACAGCAAAAACTATTTTGGTGCAAAACTACAGAGCTTTCCAAAGCAGAGTGTGATACACCAAACTGATCGCCATTGTTCCTACATTGATTAGGCCAGCGAAAATTTAGCTACCATAAAAAGAATCTTCTTTGTATCTTCTGTACAGGACTTTAGTGAGATCACTATGTACAGTTTTGATCCTCTCATGCAAGGACGGGTATTTTTGATTTGGAAGAAGTTCTAAAAAGGTAAATTAAATTATCTCATGGGATGAAGGTGTTATCTTAGAAGGAGTCTGAACAACTTGGACGAACACTCATTGGAGTTTACAAAAAATGAGAAGTGATCTTACCGAAGCATATAAAATTCTTTGGGAGCCTGACAGGGAAGATGCTGAAGCCATGTTTCCTATTGCTGGGTATCTGGAATGAGGGGCATAGTTTCAAAATAAGGGGTTTGCCATTTCAGAGACAGATGTGATGGTATTTCTTTTTACAGAGGGTCATTAACCTTTGGAATCCTCTATCAAAAGCAGTGGAACTGGGCCACTGAATATATTCAATACCGAAAGATATAGATTTCTGACCTACAAGGGAGTCTGGAGCATGGAGTTAAGGCCTCTATCAGATCAGCCACGATCTTAATGAACGGTCAAGTAGGGTTGCAAGGTCAAATGGTCTACTTCGATTCCTTACCCACCGATTTTGAAATTGCATTTCTGATTCCAGAGACCAAATCATTAATATAAATTGTGAAGAACAGTGGTGTTAGTACCAATCCCTATGGAGAAATTCTTCCCGTAATTTTCATGTCCAGGTGATATCCCTAGGTTTTACGCTGTTCGGTGTTATTTGCCTCCTGTTCTATGACTTTAACTCTAATTCAAACATGCATTATCTTATTTTTATTTTCAAAAGGCCTTCAATATTTACTTCATTATCCTGTCAACTCATTCTGTTACCTCTTTAAAGAGCTCATTAAGTTTAGTCAGGCATTACCGTACCTTAAAAATCTGTGCTGACTGCTCAGAATTGCAGCTTCATCTCCTAGATGTTTTTCGATTACATCTTTTTGATTAAATATCCCATTTTCTTTCCTACCATTAACTTTAAGCTAATTGGCTTGCAGTTTCTTAAATTTATTCTATCTCCAGTTACAAATATAGGAATAACACTGTCAGTCAGCCAGTCCCCTGGCTCTATATTCTCTTCTAATGAATCGTCATAATGTAACTGTGTCTCAGCCACCTGTTTCCAAACTTGTTTTAGTACCTGTAATCTGTGAAGTTGTTCACATTAATGTCTTTGACTTCCAATTTCCAAATATGTAAGCCAGCCGAGGAATAGTTAATAAATGTTATAACCTTGCTGGCTGTTAAAGCTTATCAAATATTTAACAAGGCCACTGTCTGATGCCTGTACTTTAAGTCTACAGTAGTTAAAATATCAATCCATTGCATTCAGATGGAGTCTTAAAATCCTGAATACATAACAATGAATTTCACTGGCATCGTTCCAGCATTGATGTACAATTTATTAATCTTCAATTTGTCAAAGTGAGTGCGTACCTGGACATGTGATGGGAAGCTGTTCCAAGAGCTCTTCTGCCAAGCACACTGAGCCCATAGCACAGAGTCACTAATGGAGAATCTTTGTCTGAAGATAGAGGCTGATGTTTTTAAAAAAAAGAGCAAGCCATCAGAATATGTATTGTATAGATGCACAGTCCATGATTGCTTCACTCAGCATGCAGCTTTTTGATTTTTTTTCAACATATCTATTTTCTAATCAACTTTTTCAGAGATGCTATGACACACCTCTGGAACAGCTGGGATGTGAACCTGAGGCTCCTGACTCAAAGATTGGGAAATTAACACCATGCCACAGAACCCTAGTATGCAGCTTCTTTTAAATTAGTTTCTAATCAAACTGTTCAGAGATATTATGACGCATTTCTGAAGCAGGTGGGACATGAACCCAGGCCTCCTGGCTCAGAGGCAGTGACACTACCTCTGCACCACAAGAGCCTGGATTGCATGCAGCTTTTTAACCATCAGGAATCATTAAAATCAGATGAAAGTAAAGTAAGATTTGCCCTTCAGTCTCACAACAGGAAGTCCTATTACTATTAACCTATGCCTGGCTAGAACATGCAGACTCCCTCATGAAATTGTTAAAAGGCTTTGTTTTAAAAAAAAAACAAAATGTGGATATGAATACCGTTTGCAGTGTTTTTATATTGTTTAATCATATACTGTTCACTTACTAAGCTACGTATGTTCTATATAATAATAAAAATAAAGCTTTGAACCTGCTCTTCCCATTTAACATTTGAACTCGTGACCCAAAGACCTATTACCAGTCTTTTGCAAATTCTATGCAAGCATCTCTTATCTTAGAGTTTAGAATGAAATCAATATCCATCATAAGGACATTAGGAAAATATACTGATTTTATAATTTCTCTGTTTGTCATATCATCTGGCCAACAGAATGCTGCAATTAGCATTCTGATCAACCAATTCAACATGTAATACAATGGTGCACGCCAGGCCTGTAGCTGCAGCCAAGGAGCCCCACAAACTATTCAAACCAGAAATTTGTTTTAAGATGTTGAAAATCGTCTACTGAATGCAGCTAAGTTGAAATAACTGGGTATACAACTCATTCTTCTGAAAATGAATTAATTAATCACTTTACAGCATTCTAATTATTCACGATCACACTATCACACACTTCTGCTATCAGAAAACAGTTTTGAAATTAGCTATGAATTGTAACATAGGAAGAATAATCAGAAAATAAGGTTACTTCCCATTCAGTGGTCCCCAAAATACAACTGGAGACCAATTATCACCACAAACAAAAACAGAAACTGTCGGAGAAACTCAGACGTTCTGGTTTCCTCCAGCAATTTCTAGTTTTTGTTTCAGATTTCCAGCATGCACAGTTCTTTGTTATATTCCAAAAATCACCTCACTTTGTACGAGACTCAGCTAATTTTAGCATATGCAGTGACCTACTCACTGCATCACATAGATTCAGAAATTGACTAGGTCAAAAAGGCAAAAGAATCACGCAAGAGAATCTGATCTGAAACTATGCACATAGCTAAATGGAGGCTTTTCAGCTCATTGAGTCTGTGCTGCCTCTTTGCAGAGTAATTTATTTACTGCCAATCCTGTTATGTCCCCATATATCTATATTTTCTCTTTCACCTAGTCTTTTACCAATTTCCTTTATAAAAATTGCTACTGGAATTCTTTCCACTATGCGACCAGGTTTTGTGTTGCTTTTAATACCTTTTCTCTTCGAGAAGCACAATATTGGATCCAGTTGAGATAAACCCCACAAAAACTCTCTCTTGATACTCCAGCCAATCTATGATCGTAGTCCTCATCAATGTTTGGGTTAAAGGTGGGATCGACATCGACATAATTATGGCTAGTACACGCTCGAAGTCCATCCTGCATGGTTTCATTTGCAAGCCAATCCTCTAGCTTGGGAGAGCTCGTTACGTAGAATAAAATACTCTAGTTGCAAACATGAAGACAGAGGATGAAGACATTAAAATTACTCGTGGGTAACTTTTCCCACAAAACAGCAAGCACTTGAACAAAATTTCGTTAACCTTGGTCATTCCTGACATCTTCCAAATCAGTAGCAAACTAAACATAAGCTCACTACCACTGCACACGGCTTCAGCAATATCTTTTTATTGGTTTAGATCAGCTTTGACATTATTTTCTCCCATCATCTTTTGCATAGTTCTTGTTTTCCAATGCACCAACTTGGTCCAATTTGCACTCAGGTCTCTGCCAAGGCTGCCTTGCAATTGTCGGCAGGTGAATCATTAATCTGGCCTGACTGGCAAATGCTTGGCCTCTTCTTGGTGCTCCCCTACAGTAGCACAGCAGAAGATATGAACTCAATAAGTGGAGACTCTGATGACTAGATGGACCCTGCGGCTTAGCAAAATCATATTAACTGTACTGGCAAGATATTACAGTTCTAAAAATGGCAATGGCTAAAACAAAATGGAGATGACAATGTTTTCAACTCCTGACTCAATTTCTCTAATTCTGTATTTTCAAATAGTTTTTATTCTATTTTACTGTATGTTTTCTTGTGAAAACAAACAGGAACCTCACTAAGAAAGTCAGTACAGAAGGAAAGCACCAATGATTACTTGAACTTAAATTAGAGTACATACGGAAATTCTTCAAAGCAAGGTTAATTAAAAAAAGTATGAACTCATTATTTACTTTTATCACTTTTCCACCTTGTTCTTCCATTACATTTTTATTATTTTAGTGGGCAAATTGTTTTAGTGGGCAAATTGTTTTAGTGATCAATAGGAAAAAAAAATTCAACACCCTTTCAGTGTCACCCAGCAGCAAGAATGTCCAGATTTAATACTGCTTGGTTGATTGCAGAAATAAAACCTAGGTCCAACAACATTACAACAATATAAAATTGCTGAAGTTGCTCAAGAAGGACGAGTTTGTGAACCAAGATATAGATGACTCAATATGAAAGATAAAGTATACATTTAGCTTTTTGGGCACTGAAATTCTACTGATCAGGAATTTTAGTTCACTGCCATATATTCCACCAGAAAATCCCATAAAGTACACAAACCTTGAAAGATAGAAACACTTAGTTTTTCATAATATCTATATACTGTTAAATAGAACTGGGTTATTGTTCAGAGATAATGTTAAAATGTTAACATGATTGAGGTGACAATCTGCGAAATACATACCTTTACATAGTAAGTTGTGAGGATCTTTCTTAGATCAAACACCTGCAGCATGGATGCAGCACTGTTGTCAGTGATACTGTAGCCCTCCAGTACATACTTGGTGACTAGTACTTCCCAAGCAAGCCAGCGCTGACCAAAAGCAGCATTAAAAGACAACATGTGAGGAATGTGGCCTGGTTCGCAACAGCAGAATCCTTCATCTTCCTCAACCCCTTCTGTGATAGCTTCCACCTCACGCTGTTGACAGTATGTGCCTACAAGGAAAGAGGAATGATCAAGGCTGTCATTGCAACATCAAAATCATTAATAAAGGATCTAAATTCCGATTACAACTTTCACTCCGCTTTCTGAGAGGCTCAAGGGTACCAGCAGTCTCCTCATACTAAATTCAGGTTGCTATTCTGAATTTGGGCCTTTCAGCATGTGATAGGTATTAAAACCAAACTTGCCCTAATCCCTATCCAACAAACAGAGATGCACTTTCTTTAAAGAAGCACTGGAATCAATCATGAGCCTGAGTCACTAACCATCGCCCCTGAAGCCAATTACTTAAAGTGAAGTTAGCTAACACTCACCTGATAATTTCTGTTCCATCTGGAACTGTCTGTCTCCATTCAGTCTAAGAATTTAAATTTTACATACTTGATTACAAAATAAATGCACATATTAGTTGTTCATGTAATGTGTCTTAGTGTTGGTTTTGGTTAAGGATGTTCTGGACTGAAGACCCCCACCCACCAAAAAAAAAAGAAATTTTAAACATAATGCTGATTGGGATCTTGCCCTCAACATCAAAGGTAACAATTGATTCTAAATTTGATGAAAGCTGCTCAGAGTTTTTGCAAGCTTGTCAGCAGAGATCTTTACAACAACTTACAGCAAGGCTTGTTCTACAAGGCATCTGCCATTCATAAGAAAGAAAGTAAACAACTGAAAGGCTGTTCAAGAATCTTCATTCAGGCATACAGTTAAAACTAGACTGCATAAAGCGGGAAATATACATTATATTTTAACAATGCAAGCAAAATAAAAATTAGGGAGTATTGATGCAATTCAGGAAGAGAGATCAAAATGTACAAAAAAAGCAAACAAAATGCACTGGTTTTGGGGCTATGGCACCTTTTCTGAACGAAGCCTGTTCTCATGGCTCCATCTTCAATCTTTGCCCTTTCAAGACCATTGCAGTTGCATTGTTATGCTTTTAATCAAATCAATAGCACAAATAGAAATTAGAGAGTGTCTACTTATAGTTATGACAGAAACAGCAGCAGGATGACATACTGTACTTGAATACTGAATGGTATGTGACACTTAGAAAGTTAAAGGTAAAGCTCTGTTGGTTAATTATGGTATTAGAATGATAGAGAAATGACCAAAGTTCAAGAAATCAGGTTATAGAAGTTGCAGAGAGACAAGAAATTATCAAGGCATGAAGTCACTTGTGAGATTGGCATAAAGGACCCCTAACAGGCATCACATGGTAGAACGGAATATTAAGGAAGAAATAATGGGAACTGCTCCGAAAGAAATGGCATTAGTCATGGGGAGTTTTAATGGACATACAGACTGGAGATATCAGATGGGCAAAGGCAGCCTCGATGAGGAGGTTACACAACGTTTTTGAGATAGTTTCTTAGAAAAGCATGTTCTTCCATAATCAAAGAACAAGTTATACTAGATCTTGTGATAACAAGGTGTAGAGCTGGATGAACACAGCAGATCAAGCAGCATCAGAGGAGCAGGAAAGCTGACATCCGCTTCCCTGCTCCTCTGATGCTGCTTGACCTGCTGTGTTCATTAAGCTCTACACCTTGTTATCTCAGATTCTCCAGCATCTGCAGTTCCTACTATGTATACTAGATCTTGTATTGTGTAATGAGACGGGATTAATTAATTACCACATAGTGAAGGCATCCCTAGGTAGAAGTAATCATAAAATGATTGAATTTAATGTTTAATTTGAGGGACAGAAGAATGGGTTCACGACCAGTATTTGAAATGTAAAGAAGGGCAATTATGGAGGAATAAAGGCGTAGTTAGGTAAAGTGAACATGCAAATTAGGTTAAGGGATAGGTCAATAAAGATACACGAGTAGATATTTATTTAGATATTTAGAAAGCACAGAATAGATACATTCCAAAGAAAAATTATATGAAGAGTACCAACATCTGTGGTCAACTTAAAAAAAGATATTAAACTTAAACAAAAAATATAATTGTACAAAGATATGTGGCAGATCAGATGTCGGACAGAATATTAAAAAAAAAAGATTAATGAGGCCTAATGTGAAGCCTAATAATGAGGAATCTTCCCAGCCACTGAACACGGTGGTCTTTGGCGATAAAGTTGAGGACACAGGCAAGATTGTCAGTAAGGAGTTTTATGATGTCAAGAGCAAAAAATCTGATTCTTCAAACAAAAGCTGAACAATGCGATGAGAATCTCATCAGTGGGTGGCATTAGCATGCCATTATTATTTAGGTTTGCCTCTTTTATATGCAGTTTCCTATTCTCCCCCTCCGATACAAAGTAGTTGTGACAAGTCTTGACACGAAATTCAGGGCTGTTAATTGGCAACTCCAGCTTGCCGCTTGTGCCTCTGGCTCTCCATCTTGGACATCAGTCACTGCCAATTTTCTAATCCACGGGTATTGGTATTGGACATGTTCAAGCTCCACTGTACCTTTAAGGCACATCTCTAATCCACTTCTAATATGCTTCTGCACTTCAAAGCATACTCCAATCATTGAATGATACCACTAAGACATTGCATGCAGGCCCAGACACCTGATACATGGACTGCACCAGGGTGCATGTCAGGGCTGCTTGCTTGCTCTTTTCACGTTCGCTCACTTTGCGCCTCCATATATGCTCACTGCATCTTTGCACCGACTTGCCTTTTTGCACTTTGCACCATCAGACAAAGCTTAAGGGTTTACAGTATTTCAGTGCATATTAGCACAAACGCAAAGCCAGGTGCTTGTCATGGGTGTCAGCAGTCATCAGTCAAGGGAACGGATATCTTATCGTACATCATTGTCTTACATGGTCACAACCACCACTGCCTTAACCAGGGTTTCAGTTGGGGGTGCGGGGGGGAACTGTGCAGCACAATGATTGGCATGACTAAGCTGCAGGGCCAGGGCTCAGAGACAAAGTTGGGAGATGACATTATAATTCAAAGTGGCATGTGGGAATATTTGAAAGCTCAGTAATGACGTGCTCGACAGATAGAGGCAGGAAGAAAGGAACACGTGAGGTTTTGGTGGAGTGCAAGGTCGGAGTGGTGGTGGTGGGCGGTGGGGGGGGGTGTTGGTGGGGGCGGTCGTTATTACGAGCTGAGCCTCTGATGCACTGTGGTAAGCATGACATTCCATACTCACGTGATTCGTAAATGCTCAATGGAACCGGAAAACGGCTGCAACCACACCCACAGTAGGCGGAGTAAGTTTATTTCCCAGAAAATGCAGGCTCCATTGTGAGTAACACAAGACTCTTTAACGGGCAATTGCATTAATCAGGTACTTTCACAGTACAGAATGAAGTTACCTGTAATCCTTGTATCCTGTATGCGAAATGCATGCAGAATCTAACTATGTGGTGTACAAATCCTTATCACAAGGCATCGATTTAGGATTATCAAGAGGCACCTTGATTGAAACATACAATATCCTGATGGATTTTCACAGCCTGGATGTAGGTAATTACTGTTTAAAATTAAGGGGCTGCTGGGCAGGGAGAGCAGGAGCAGGTAGCCTGAGGTGGCAGCGAGGGGCGAGGTCAAGCCGCTGTGAGGAGTGCTAGCCCAGCAAGGCCAGGCGCTTATTGACTGTGGTGTTAAGCTGTTAATTGTGTTTCTTTGCAATTCTTCTTACTAAAATGTTGAAAAATAATGTTTAACTTTTTAACTTGGTTTTCCTTATTTTTCTGTTTTGTACCTAAGATGGCACTGTAAATGGCAACTTGTAAGCTTTTCACTGTACTTACTTGAGTACGTGACAATAAAGCTAATACAATTCAATGTAAGATATAGATGAAAAGATTTATTTTCTCAGAGGGATGAATATCTTTGAAATCTTTTCCTCAAAAGATAGTGAAAGCAGAGTCTGAATATTTTTCAAGCAGAAGTAGATTGATTTTTAATAGAAAAGGGGTTGGTGGGAACGCTGAGTAATCTTATTTAACAGCAGAGCATGTTCAATGGGCCAACTGGCCTACTCCTGCTCCTAATTTGTACGTTAGCACACATGCTGATATCTCCCTCCCTATAGTCTGAGGGTCGCAGGCTTGAAAGGTTAAGGTGAACAACTGGTTTAGCTATTCATCTTCAGATCAGGATGAACCACATAAAACACAAAACAGGTTTTGCATTCAGATAATCACAGAATCATATAATTACCGAAGAGGCCCTTTGGCCCATCAAATCTGTACTGCCAAAAATATACTACTACCTACACTAGCCCCACATTCCACACTAGGGACTTGTGCCTTGAATGTTATGACATTTCAAGTGCTCATCCAAGTACTATTTAAAGGTTGTAAGGTTTCCCACCTCAACTAATCTCCCAGGCAGTGCATTCCAGACCTCCACCACCCTCTGGGTGTAAAAAAGGTTTTCCTCGAATCCCTCTAAGCCTCCTGGCTTTCTCTTTAAATGTATGCCCCCTTGTCATTGAACCTTTGACTGAGGGAATGGCTGCTTTCTTTCATCCTGTCCATGTCCATCACAATCTTATACACCTCTATCATGCTCTCCTACCCTGCCATCTTCTCTGCACCAAAGAAAACAAATTGAGTTTACCCAGCATTTTTTCATAACTGAAATACCTGGTGAGTCTCCTTTGCTTCCCTTCTAGTGCAATCATATCCTTCCTATAGTGTAGTGACCAGAACTAAATGCAGTACTGCAGCTGTGGCCTAACTAAAGTTCTGTACAGCTCCAAAATAGCCTCCCTGTTCTTATAATCTATGCCACAACTGATAAAGGCAACTGTCCTGTATGCCTTCTAAAATTGCAGTCTTAACTATCTTATTACACTGTCCTGCCAGCTTCAGGGATCTGTCGACAAGCATCCAAGGATCCCTCTGTTCCTGAGCTTCCTAGTATTGAGTACTCCCTTGTCTTGTTTCTTCTTCCAAAGTACATCACCTCACATTTATCATGGTTAAACTTCATCTGCCACAGATCTGCCCAATCAGACCTCATCTGCTAAAACTGCTCAGCATTCTGGATCATCCTGGAATGCAAAGATAGCTCTCCGATTCTTTTCTCTACTAAAAGCCATCTTCTCAAACCCCTCTCCCTACTTCCTTAGCTCCAATGTGCAAGGAGTTCTTCTTCGTCACTTAAATCAAGGTGAGCTGAAAGGTTGCCTCCAACATTTCCTTGCCTTTGATTGGCCCAACTGGCTAGATCACTTTTCATGCGGCCCCTCACCAAGCCCTGAACTTTCATCTTTTTCTAGTTTCTCTTTTTATTTGTCACGCCCTCGCTGAGATAACTTTGTCCTCGAGACTTACTACCCTTGATTTTATTCCCATTAAACTGCCAATCACCCAACTACAACTTCCGGTCTCCATCTTATAATAATGACCTTGTGTATTAGTTTAGATAGTTAACAACAATTTCAATAATAGCTCTTCACTCTCCAGATATTGTCGCACCCTTTTGTTTCTACTGGATGGGAAGAAACTTTCATCAAATAAACATTATCTTCAGTCTTTGCTTCAAAATCCCTTCCCATGGTATAAAATCCAGCCCTTTCCCCAGCAACCTTCTGAGATTAAGCAAGATTTCACAACTTTGGTGTGCACACAATTCTGAGATGAGCTTCAAACGTCATTTTCTTGCCATCACCAAGACTGCATAATTCCACTTCAGTAACTTCTATATCACTGTCCCAGCACATCTGTTGCTGAGATTCTCATTCATGCCTTCATTACCTTTAAACCCAACTATTCCAATACACACTTAGATAGGTTTTCATGCTTTTTCCCCTCTGTAAGGTTTGAGTAATCCAAATCTTAACTTGCAGAATGTCATGTTCTCCAAATATCTCTGCGCTCGCTGATCTACACTGGCTCCCAGTCATGCAATGCCCTGATTTAAAAATTCTTATCCTGGTTTTCAAATCCCTCTATTGCCTGACCATTCCCTATCAATGCAATCTTCTCCATCCCTAGAATACTCTGAAAGATCTGTTCCGCTTATATTCTAGCCTTTGTGAATTCCTTATTTTAATTGTATCACTATTGGTGGCTGTTCTTTCAATTGCCTAGGCCAAAGCGCAAGCTCTGGAATACCCAATATACCTTTCTGATTTGCCAACTTGCATTCTTCCTTTGGGATGCACATTAAAAACTATCACTTCTAACATGCTTTTGATCATCTGATGTAATATCACCTTGAGGCTTGTATCATACATTTTGTATAATACCCTTGTGAAATGCTTTGGGTCATTTCATTATGTTAAAGGTGCTATATAATATGCTACTGTTAAATATTAAAAAAGTCACCAACCTTAAATATTTTGAGGGAATGAGACTCCACCCTAAATATCATTTCGACAGTTAGATGTGGAAATGTGCATAGATGTGATAAATGTGCTTACATTAGGAGTGGGTATCCGATTTTCTCCTTTATAATATGAAGCACTAATAGCTTCTCTGTTAATTCTCATCTCAAATTCTGGACCTATATAGATGGTCATTTCTGTGTAGTACTGAGGGACTAATCCACTTTAACATGTACCAGTTTTTGAATGAATATTAAAATAAGACACGGTCTTTCCTCCCAGACTGAATGTAAAACAGTGCACAAAACAACTTAACAAGGTGCAGCAATGTTCTCACTATGTCCTGGTCAATATTTATCCATTATTAAAGGAGACAGTCTGGTCACTTATTGGTGTTCGTGGGACCTTGTTGCAGAAATTGTGAAACAGGCAGCAAGAGTTTCCACTCTTAATTGTTATTCAATAACTATAAGATGGAAAGTATGTTTGCATGTGTATACATGAATTTGAGAGAAGATGAGGACAACAGCACCTTTATTATCCCTTCCCTTTTTCCATTATTAAGTAGCTTACTGAAGCTTGCGTGATCTAAATTAGGAGCAACTGGTACAAGGAGGATTTCATAATCAAAGGAACCGTGCCCTTACTATGAACAAATCAAAAGAATAAAGAAACAAAAAGAGAAAGAAAAACATACGCCACTTTACCCCATGCATAAAAAGTAGTTCCTAAAGATTAGGAAAAAAATTGCAATATTCATTTCACACAAAGTTAACACAATTTAAAGATTTTTTTTGAAGAAAGGATAAATTAATAGAACAGATAGGTGTGTGCAATTTAGAGGAGAAGGCAGAAACTCTTAGAATTTTTAAACTTTCCAGTCAGAAATTGGTTGGAATGCTTGATCCTCACCTCTGAACTCCAGGCCCCGGAGCTGGTAGGTGACCAAGCCATTTCCTATTTCTATGAGATGAACCAGTGCGTTGAGGTAGTCAGAAGCGAGAATGAAGCAATCCCCAGTATTGAAGTTGCCCCAGCGTCCCAACATTAGGTCCCCACAAAGACTGTGCTGCAGAGATCTTGTCAAATGCTCGTAAAAGATGGAATTCAAATTGTTGTCATCTGAACCTACAAAAAGTGAAAACACACCATTAAATGATTAGATTATGAGATCTGTCTTGGGTTTAGGAATGTACTTCAAATTCATAATGATTCTAACATCACTGTATTGTTAATCACCAGGCTACAGCATTTCCCCCACCAGTAATGATCCTGACTCTTGAACTGTAAAGGGTCAGTACAAAAGGAACTTGAGTGCTGTTCACAAGTTAGAGTATGATGAGGAACTGATTTCTGAATATCTAAGTGTTATTTTGTTTAGATACTGTAGCATTGTATTGGATCTTAATAATATCCTCTGGTGTTGGAAATGAATGCTTAAGCATCAGTATATGTTGCTGTGTCCACTTAAATGAAAACAGTAACCATAGTGTTTGGGTTAAAGCTTCAGAGAGAAAAAAAAAATTATGTGAAATGGATTAGAGATAGTAGGAACTGCAGATGCTGGAAAATCTGAGATAACAAGGTGT